CCCTTCCAGCCCTAATGTCTATGAAATCTATGAAGTGGAGGGTTTTAGTAGCAGCATTTTGGTTAGAGAAGGTAGGTGAAGATGATCAGAGCCAAGAATTTTTTTTTTCTTAAAGGAGTTAAGGTGAGTTATTCACCTTTGACTTCTAATAGCTTTCAAATTTCAGGAGGAGAAAGGGGTAGTGTCAAAAAATAGTCTTTCATTTTGCCTGACCAACCTATTCCTATTTACTTAGGGCGGGCAGTGGAGAAGGGAATGGGGAGGAAAAAAAAATAAATAAAAAATCCTTTGATGTACAAGTCTTACCTCTTGCTGTGTTCCTGGCATCATGCCATCAAAGCATTCATATTTTCTTCATGCATTGCACAGTTCTTACCTCACTGTAAGGATCTTTTTGACATACTGGTTAGGAGTTCCAATTTTTATTGCAAATGCAAATCGTGGTATTATGGATCTTCCAGCCTAGATTAAAAACTATTTTATGAGTCCTCAGGTCATTTCTAGCTGATGATAAGAACAGTCTTGTGCATATGTTGCAAACATATACTGCTAGTCAAATCGGGCCATGCTCAGATTCTTTTTGCTTACACAATACAATGAAGAAAGCACTTAAGTGCTAACAAATGTCCTGGCTCTTCACCAGACATCTCCAACTTCACTCTTCATATTTTGTGCTTGTAATTTGGCTAGTGCATATTTCTACTTGAGCTTCTGCAGAGTCTTCAAAGCATCTTTCAACACAGTGGTTTTATTACATTTTTCCCTTGTCAAAATCAGCTACATTCCCCCTGCCTCCTCAGTCCTTAAACTGCTAATTTTTGGTGGCATGATCATAATCTTTTCCATTTATCATGGCAGTACAAGGGTGTCAAAACCTTCATGTTAACCAGTATCAAGCTTGCTTTTTTGCTATTTTATATGATCTGTTTTCTTCAATAAGTTCTAATTCTTGCCCTTTGATCTTGTACTTTAAAAAGGGAGGAAGATATTTTAATACTTTAATCTGATCCTGCAGTTTTGATCACTTTAAGTTGTTCTCCAGGCAGGATGTTTCAAACAGATAGTATCTCCTTGTATAACTATGCTCAACTTTATCTCTTCACTCTCCTTGTCAAGCTTAAATATCACAGCTTGAGTGGCATAGATGGGTTGTGTGGTTCTTATGATTTGTTCTGCTGCTTCCTCTTCAGTTGATTACAATACAGATTCTATTTCCAACAAGTTAAGAGCCTTTCATAGGTCCTCAAAAGACATCAGCAAGATGCCTCTGTGGAAAATGAATCATATAAAGAATTACCCAATGTTCTATTATGTGAGTCTGAATGATGTGGAACTAATACCTACTAGTTAATATTCTGTATAAATAGGGATGTTTGTTAAGCCAGAGGGGCAAGTTTTGTTGTCTGAATTCTTTGGCTAGAATTCAAGTTTAAAGATGCCTAACTTTTTCTTTCCTATTTACTCCCTAAATATTTTAAGGACTCTCATTTTGAGAAGACCTTGGTAAATATTGTTTATGTTTCCTCATAATGAGAGCTTAAGTCCGTTTAGTACCTTGTCTTAATATTCAGTCCATTGTATTTAATTTGCAATAACAAATAGTTTAGAAAAACAATAGATGTGTTATACTCTACAGTCTACAGCAGAGACTGGCTAAAGTCTATATTGTTGCACCTTAAAAAATGATATTAAAATATAATTAAGTCTTCATTGTAAATACCCTTGGATACTGAAAGTTAAAGAATACTACCAGGTATGTAACAGTGACTCAGTTTTAGGACACATTCAAGAGCAGCAGAAACTTTAATTCATCCAAGAGGTAGAGGCTTGTCTTCAGCCTATTTCTTGAACTTGTGTATTACTGCTTTTTCCTTCATAGTACCCTTAAACATGAACCCTTAATAGGGGTGCCAAGATCTTGGCATCCTCTTTTACTGCAGAACTTCAGATTCCAACAAGCTTCCTCCCATATTAGTCCTCTGCAGGCTGAGGAGATGCAAAAACACACAACCTGAGGAGCAAAACAAAGGACTGAGTGTGCAAGTCTACTTTGCAAAAGACTTCACTCAAACTTCTTTCATGGTAGCATATGCTGTGATTGCAGGAACAGCGGGCCTTGCCAAACCATTTACCTCCATGTCTATCTAGGGATGCAGGAGAGGTGGCAGCAGTGATCAGGGCAGCCACTGTAGCAGCTAATAAGTCTCCCTCAAACACTCAAATTATTGGAAGGGTCTCAATGTTGGGTAAATACGTTCTTGCATGCTAATCACAGGTCTGCCTTGGAATTCAGTGTCTCTTAAACGTACCGTCATGCCAAGCAAGTATGGGACAATTTTGCCTTAACTGCTGGTCTTCTTAAGGTCATCATCCACTAGTCTGGAAGAATGCTGAAAAGAATTAAGACAAACTGCTGGATAACTCCTCTCCATCCTAGGGGGCAGGAGTATTCATATTTGTTATTTTTTGCCACCAGCTCCTACCCATTTAAGACCGTGCTCGATACATTCAAGTAAGTTTTCTTGCTGTGCCTCGGTTTCTTCTTCTCTACAATTATAATAAATGATACTGATCCCTCCTTTGTAAAATGTCTTTAAATCTCTCAGTGTAAAGAGCCAGATAAAAGCTAGCAGTTTTTCTCAAGCATAGTTTCTCTCTTAGGTCCGTAACTGAAGTCAGTGGATTCCAGCTGATATAAGAGATCAGAGAATCAGGTCTCAAGTCTGGACTAAACATGCAAAGCCAGGTATTGCATCTTGCCACCAGTACAAGTTATCCTGCTTGAGTGATCAATAACAAGTTCACAGGTAGGACAGGAAATTTCAGTACTCTGCTTTTAGGATGCCATGAGGACAGAACCAGGAAAATTAAACCCTCAAAAATGATCATGCAGACTAGTGGTACTCAACCTATTTGCCCCACAGGGTTGGTGCACGCAGTTCACAAGTGCAAGGAGGCATGCCCTCAATGTGCTGGATCTGGTTACAGCACAACTCTGCACATTGCATCAATCTAGTACATGGAGCCATATCATCCAGACTGTGGGGCTCCCCACAGATCTGGTGATAGGGGAATGGGGCAGTATCAATTGCCATGGGTGTCAGAGCAATTAACCCTGCTACTGCTCCCTTTCCACTAAATTTCCAGATTCAGAGGGAACCTATGGGCTAGATCAGGGGTTTTCAACCTTTTTTGGTCGGGGTACCCCTGGCAGCCAGTTGAGAAATGAGGATTCCTCCAGTGGCCAGTCAATGGGCGTGGGGGAGCGGGGGATGGAAATGGAAGTGTCAGTGGCTTCTCCGTGCCACTGCTGCAAACCCCGTGGGGCTTTCCAAAGTAACCCCAGGTTGAAAACCCCTGGACTAGATAACAGCTCTGAGGGCTGAAGGCTGAGAAACACTGATGCAGCCCATTGCAGCTGGCATACACAGACCTATTTTGCAAGTCAGTTGTCCAGCTTAGATTACTTGGATCTCAGGAAAACTACCATGACCAAGAGGCACTTGATTAATATGCTCAGCACTGTGGCAAAACATTCAGTAGGCCTCTACACAGGCAGGGGGAATTCTCCACCTGTGCCCTAGTATTCCCTGTGGGAATGACGACTGCTATATGAAAATAAAAGGTCTTGTATGCCAAAGTGGTCCTGAGAATCTAAGTGAAAATTATGGTGATCCTAAGCATAAGAGACATTCAGCTGGTCAAGTCCAGTTTCAAAAACCTCTCATTCACACACAACTTCGGGGTTTTGGGAAGTTCTGTCACTTCAACTGCACAGAAGCACTCTTATACCACAAGTGTCAACATAGTGAGTTATAGCAGGAAAATTATACTGGTATTACTAGGACAGTGAATTTCTTCCTGTGCTGACAAGTTGTATTGCAGGACATTTTACAAGAGTATTCAGTGTCAGCCCAACACTGCTCCAATTGACTTCAATACATTCAGTGCATGTGCTTACACTATCATTTTGCCCTCAGGTTAATTGACTGCCAATTAACTCGAGGTAGTTAATACATTTGTCAAACTAGCCTGAAGACTTCCCAGTATGTTGTTTACCCTAGGCTGATTCCTAGATTAGCCTGGAACTACAATTTAATGCCCAGGTGAACCTTTAAAAGCACATTTAATTACTCAAGGTAAAACACTAGGTAACAGCAAGCTGTAATAGAAAAGGGGCAGGAAATCAAGCATCCTGGATATGCCCTGCTTAAAGACTCTTCCCCTCTTCATCCACTGAGGGAGAAGACTAGGTGGACCTGTGCTCTGATCAGCTATGGCATTTCTTATGTTCTTAAGCAGAGTACAGTCGGGTCTACCCTGAATGGTTTTGAAAATGCCACCCTGAAAACCAAACAAGAATAATTTATTGGAAACAGTATTTTTCCTATACCTGGTCTTTCAGTTGTAGTTCTCCTAAGCAGTATTTTACCCTCCTCCTTTACACAAACAGGCATAAACCACACACAATTTAAAGTGGAAAATATCTGGTCACCAAATTGAATTTATTCTGACTCTACCTCTGAATACAGATATGCAAATGACAATATATAAAACAAGTTTACAAAGCAAGAAAAATGGAATCAAGAAGTTATAAATAGTATTTTAAAATTCCTTGTTACCATTTCAGTGATAAAACAACTGATTAGGTAGAAGAAAAAGCTGCTGTAACTTTGACTTTAAAACCTACTCTATGTAAATTAAGAAACCTAAAAATGTCGTCGGATAACTGATGTATAGGTTTAATTCACAGTTTTCTCTTATTTTAAAATACCTTATAAAAATAAAATGCTTTCCCTGACAATTTTGTCTTTGATACTTAGCTACAGTTGACTATTTCCAGTGCATTCAATGAAACCAAAATGAACACTTAGCAGTGAACACCAGCTTATACAATCCATTATACCTGAACATTTCTGTATGCAAGCTTCATTGCCAATATCAGCACAACTCAGAAGATTAAACCCAATCTTGTTCCCACTAAAGCCAACAGCAAAAATCCAATGGGCTTCAAAAGTAAAGCAGGGTTCACACTTCATCAACTCTTCTGATGCACTGATCAGAGGAACATTACGCGTTTTCTTTAGAATTCAATGATATATATGTTGAATGTGTAATTTAATATAATTTTGGCTTTACCTTTTAAACTAGAAGTACAATACTTCCCACAAATACAAAACCAAAGAAATCAAGATTTCATGTAAGCCCAGGAAACAGTATTAGGGCCTCATGCGTTCACACCCCAGCTGACAAAGATTAAATCCCCATCTCAGTTTTCCCTTCAAGACAGGGCTAATCCCTTCCCCAGTTCACAAAGCTGCTGTGAAGACTCGTGTTTGGAAGCCATTTTGAAGAGAAAAAGCAGTGAAAGTGATTTTTCTATTAAGAAACAAAAAAGTAGATAACATTTTGGCCATACGTATCTCAGCAATATAATTTTAAAACATTTAAATAAGAGGGTGAATATGAATTGGAGTCCGACAGGTTTAGTAATAATAGAAATTCATTTGTTTTGAAAGCATACTTGTAGCATCAAAATTAAACACAGTTGCTTAGCATATTGCATTGAGAAACTCTTGGAAGTTTAAGGCTCAGCCAAATATTGCCAGCACTAAATCAGAATCTTTGACACTTGGAAATGCCGGCTGGCGTGATTATCAAATGTGTTCAATTAGCAAATTTTTATTTTAGTGGTAGTGTTAAGTTATATAAAATTTCTCACATTGCTTATCAACTATTTTATTTGCTTATGTGGAAATATATCAGATTTTTATGTTATACGTGTATACACATACCCCCCTCCCCACCTCCAATAAAGTTAAAATCACTGATATTAACAGCCAGGTAAAGATATGGGAAACTCCACCTACAGCATGCAAAAAGAGCATCGGGGAGTCTCCTACAGTGAAACCAAGTGCACTATCGATATGTCATGACACAAAAAGGTGCAGCTCCAATTGAGACGGTTATACGAACAGTCTTGTGCTTAAGGTGTGTCAGAAAATGCACTTAAACATTGTGCCATACACAGTGTGGTCCTAAAACATCAAAGCACTTAAGTACATACTTAACTAAGCATGTGAGTAGTCCTGATAGCCAGAAATACTTAAAGGCAAATATAAAAGGAAATAAATTAGCATGAATACTATTTTGGTACCTCCTGAGAATGAGGGCCCTCCTAGGAATGGCCTTTCACTGTTCTAACTCTAGCAAATCAGACCTCCAGGGCAAAATCTATGCTAAGAGGCTTTGATTTCCTATAAGCACTTCTGTGTGAAGTTTAGGCCTAGAATGCAGGAAACAATTGTTTCCTGTGGGTCAGAGGAAATGCTGCTACTTTGCAATTATGACTGTGATGATCAGAAAATTGTAGAAAAAATTCTTTCAGTGACTGGGAGTGGGGGGATGTGGGAAGATGGAGGCGGTTGTGGGGCAGAGACATGTGTATATTATTAATTTAAGATCTGGCATTTGGAATAAGCTACAGTATCACCAAAACAGCAGCAAAAATAATGTAGGATTTTAAAAATACCTTGATATTAGCAAAAGTCTCTCCTTCACCCACCTCTGGAATAGACTAACTGAAAGAAAACATGCATTTAAATAGCTTTATAGTTCACAGCTGCAAGGAACACAGGGAGTGTACTACAATACCTGATTTTTTCTTTTCGGCAATAGAAAACTGCAATATAACCATAGAACAAGTGTTCTATTTTACTGTGAGATGTCAGCAGCCCCACCCAGAAATAAGGCTAAAGCCATGTGCTTACAAAAAAAGTGTAAGTATATATAAACTTCATATTCATCTTTGCTAGCAAATGTATATCCTACTATTTGACTCCCTGCTGGGAAATAAAACAAGGGGACAAAAGATAGATGGTCAGACTGCAGGAACACAAGGTGCCACAAGAGAGAGCACAAGAACCCCTCACTTCAGAGGCAGAGCACATCATGCTCTGTGATGTTTTAGTTGCTCCTGAACGAAATAGCTAAATAGCACAGACCCAAACTCCAACTTCACAACCCCCCCACAAAGAAGCATTACAAGCAACGATAAAGAGTACAGAATAAATCACTGTACTGTTGAAGGAAATGAAGAACAAAGCCCTTCTTCCCCCAGGCAGAGCATTACACCTCTGTTGTGTGAGAAAGTTCATGTGTTACTAGAACATATAATGCTGCAAACATAATGCACACTCACTGATATGCATACTCCAAGCTCAGGAAAACCCTAATGGCCTGTTGAAGGGACACTGACAGGTTTTGTAAAAACCTTGATTATATAGGAATTTTAAAGTCAACAGAAACAACATTTTCCCTTTTATAAAATTTTTCTGCAGATTTTTTTTTTTGGAATCAGATGAACACACTTCCAGGCACCGTTTCCAGCCATCCCCCTACATAGTTGTGCCAGCGCCCAGCGGGATGAGAAAAATCAACTACACAAATACGGAACTGCTTAGCTGACTTTCTCCATCTAAGCTGAGTGAAGTGCCTACAGTGCAAACAAGTTCAATTAGCAAAACTGCAATAAGAGTTAGATCTTGAAAACTGACTTCAATCATCTTGGACCTGATCTTCCAAGGTGATGTATACCATCAGTTTGGCCTTAAATCACAGGCACACAAGTACTTCCCAGGACCAGGCAGAACAGATACCAACAGTGGTACTTTTCAATATGATTTTAGCCTGGTAATATCCCTTTTAAGCTTAAAGTTAAAATAAAGAACTGCATAATAACAAATACATTTGTTAATTCAGCTACAGTTCAGTGTAAAAAAAGTTGCCCCTTTTCCCACCCCTTTTGGTTTTGTGCAAAAAGTTGAGTGGTTGCTAGCGTGTGCTACTGGTTTAAATAAACTTATGCTTTTTTTTTTTTTTTTTGCTGTCTCTGGATTCTGGGGGCTGGTACAAAGCCTTTATTGGAGTTCAGTGGCTTGTTCTCTTGTTTCTTTTATCAGGATCCATTCAAATGGAAAGTTGTTAGGTCTGCAGTTTGAATTGATAGGTGCTCGTTTTCCATTGGTTGATATCTGCATCAAGCATGGTGCGCTCTGTGAAAGTAACTTGTCCTTCTGCATCAACGAGGATGATTGTATTAGTCCTGAAATAAAAAAGTGAGGGGGCGGGGAAAAAAAGCCTTTGCTGTTGTTTAACCATTTACACAAATATTTCTTGGGTTTATAATTTGGTCCATTAGGTTTCCTTTTGATCATGTCAACATCACAGAAATAGGTCAGAGATGAAAATTCAGATTGGAAGGAGGAGGACTAATAGCAGTTTTTCTTCCCCTTTCAATCCACTGAATCAGGGTCTGTAGAGTTTTGCTTCATTGCTGTACTTATTAACTCAACCAACATACAGGACTGCAGGCTGATGGATAAGGTGTATAATAAATAGAGAAGACTAATTACAAGCTTTTTAATTACCAAGTGTATTCAAGTCAGTTCTCTAAACCAAAAATAATTTTTACCTGGCAGCATTTTGTTGGCACACATATCATCAGATCCATATAGCCTTGATGTTTGTTTACACTTGCTTACCTCTTCCCTTTGATCTCAAATGCCTATACAAGCCTCTACTGAGAATACCACTAATCAGTACCCAAGGACATTGGGTAAGGTCATAAAAACAACCCATTTCCATCTTTAGGAACAATACTTCTCTGAACAATTCCTGTACATAGAGGTGAAACCCTTTCAAAAGGTTTACACCAGTATAAATTTCACTAGCTTCAGTCTAAAAAACCCACAGAAAACAGGTAGGGCATGTGAAAACCTCAGAACAGTTTGCTCTGGCCTTGATTCTCCATCTTAATAGTACAGGCATAAATCACAGGAATGCCCAGGGACGTAGGCATACTGGTCAATTGTCCCATATTTCACATCTAAATTAATCCTGTTTTTACACAAGTAAGCAATTGAATCTCCCGATTCAACTGGGGGAAGAGGCAGTCAGTGCTTTGGGTTCCTTGTTTAGCTTTACCATTGATTCTGTGACCACAGCCAGGTTCATTCATTGCTGTTAATCATTTTAAAAGGGTACAGTGCCTTTATGTTTCATGACCTGTTTAAAAGGGGGCTTGGAGACTGTTGGATGAAGAGGGCCACGGTGTACAAAGAACAAAACAATCTATTTTAAGAACAAAATGGAAACCGTAGCCATAAAAATAGTTAGACTAGTTCCACAGACATACTGTTAATGTTTCCTAAACTTCCTTCTCCGTCTCGTTCCGAGGGAATAATTCTACAGATTTCTCCATTTGCCCTCCTCCAATCTTCCAATCCCAGCGACCTCAAAATACATTGTGTTAGCAGCTCTTTCTCATCACGTCAATGGCAATTTCAGCAGAGATGCTTTTCACCAGTAGATCTCAAGAGTAACCATATCATTTTACAGAGGGGAGACTGAGGGACAGAAGGGGGAAGCATTTTGCCTGTGGCTGCCCAGCAGATTAATTCAGAGCCAGGAAAAGAATCCTGGTCTTTTAAATCTCAGTCCAATTTGTAATTTGCTTAAGCTGAGTTGTCAACTTTAAACCAGCTCCAAGTATCAGAGAGCAATGAGACTAACCAGAATGGATTTGGGGAAACAAAGTGAATGATGTACTGGGAATAAGTCAAAACTATTTCACGATACTTCAGGACAATCTAGTGTTGCTTCTCCCTTCCCCAAAACAGGCAGAATTTAACCAGCAATACATAAGAATAGAAGATCTCTCTCTACATGCCACTTTAGGACTTGAGAGTCCCATAAAAGAAAGACAGCCAAAAGGCTGCATTTGCAATACATTTTGCACAAATTTTATTCTACATCAAACCAGTGGCCTGCATTTTGCAATGGCTTTTCAGCCAGACCCCAATGCTATTTAGAGGTTATGAAGTTAGTCTTTCAAAAGCCCTCGCTGAAATGGGTGCAGGCTATTCTGGAGACACCCTTTTGCTCATCAATCCACTAAGACACCTAAACAATGGGAACACTATGGCTCACTGATGCAGAGATTGAACTGTCGACTGCCGGTCACTCTCAGTGGCAGCCTCTTAAACTGAGAAATTCCATACCCCTAGGAATCAGGTTGACCCATAATCTCTCCACCCCCTCTTTACTAACAGTAACAGAAGTGTCTACTGCATTCTTACTAGATAGAAGGTGAGGATAGTGCATTAAAGAAAGCAGGATAAATGAGCTGAAGATAGAGATGAGGGTGTTTTTGAACAGGATTAATGGGTTTTTAATGCACAATTATGTCACCAAGATATTATGGTGATATGCCTATAATAAATCCCTAATATAGCTAGCCACAAAGATTACATACTTCCCTCTCTCTCTCAAAAAGAACTCTTATTCCAGTGGCTTAGACAGTGCCAATAAGAAAGCTGTGGAAAAGCAAAGAAAAAGAGAAGAAAAATAGTTTTCAATTTTCTACTTAAGTGATTTATCTGCTCTGCCAGAAATGGAAGCCAGCTGGTATGACTTACCAAAACTTTCCACAGAAAGCTCCTATAAAACTAAGATGGAATATCAAGAGATCTGTTGCTTTGTGGGCAAATACAGCAGCAGCAGGCAATGCTGAAGTGAAAAGCTCAAGGGAATGGCTACACAGAAAACTTGACTATGACCAGTCACCTTTACTTTTACAAATGACTCCATGTTAAGTGCTTGGGCAGAGCAAAATTGAATAGCCCTAGATCCGCTTCTTCCCAATATCTTTGGCCATGTCTAGGTAGTTTCCCTTTGAACTCCAGGACTCCTGTCAACAAAATAAAAACTTCCTATTTGCTCCCATTCTGCCAGAAAGACTGGAAGTTGAGTAGGGGAAAACACAAACAAACAAAAAAAACAAAAAACAAAACAAAAAAACCCACACACTTGGGAGCACCCCAAAAGATCTCAGTATTATCTGCCTTTCCTCTTGCTTCCAAGATGTCGGGCCTGAATGTAATGCTGGGGTGTGCACTCAGGGCCTCTCAGAGCTTTCTTTGGGGCATCTGAGTTGGTAGAGCTTGTCTGGTCAGCGATGATCAGGAGGGAAACCATATAACCAAGCCATTAGCAGAGAGGCAGCCTGGCAACAAGGCATACTAAAGATACAACGGCAGGAAAAATGGCAAAAAGGAAAGTGGGACAACAAAACAGAAAAAAGGATGCGGGGCTGAGGATGAGGGGACATTCGTGGGGGCTTCAAGGAAAAAAAAAGTAGCTCCTTTTCCCCCACTCTCTTTAAAACATGCAGGACAGGCAAAATACTCTTGCTCCTTCTTCATGAGAAACCAGTGCCTGAATTGGTAACCTTCAATATTCAGTGGTTCTCTCAGAGGAGGGGTAACTGAATGATGAAAGAAGACTTGAGGGGCTGGGATGTACACAGGCATCATCTGTTTGTGTTTATATGAAACTGCAACGGTAAGTTTGTGTGTATGGGAGCGATGGCCATCTGCATTCTTCTAGACCAGGGATGCTCAACCTTTTTCCACAAGGGACTGGATAGGGAGCGCCTGGTCCATCTACAGGCCGGATCCAGCTGTCGGTCCAATCCTGTACCCAGGATGGGCATGGCAGGGCTTCATCTGGCCATGCGGGATGTGGGAAGCTGGGGGCAGCCTGACCCCAACCCAGCCCCACTGGTCAGGGGCTTGGGGGAGGAAGGGAACATAGCCCAGTCCCAATCTGGACATGCTGGGGGAGGGGGGTGTGGCCCAGCACTGACCTGCCACAGGGCTTGGGATGTGAGAATTTGGCAGCATGGAGGGTAGCTGTATTACTTGCCACCTTTCCCCCACCACCACATTTCCCAACCTGTGGGGAGCCCTGCAGGCTGGATGCCATGTCTTCACGGGCTGCATTTGGCCTGCATGCTGGAGGTTGACCACCCCTGTTCTAGACTACTGACCTGTGTTTTGCACAGTACTCAGAGCCTAATATACACAAAACACCATCGTGAACTTAAAGGAAAAGATTGGATAGCTTAAAACAGACAAAAAATAAAACAGCTAATGTTATTAATAAAGTGGTATGGCAAATCTTAAGTCAGGTACCAAAGGATAAATGTCAAGCAAAAGCCACATCAGAAAACTGAGGAATAACAAAAATGAGAATATAGGAAGATACTTTGCTCAATTACAGCTGATAAATATTTATACTCAAAGTTTATAGGCAGTACCGGAATGTGTTCCACGGTCCTGAATGTTAAGGTTTATGGCAGCATTTGACTTAAGATAGGCTCAATACAGTGATCATTTTATTTTGCCTCATTTACTTCACCTTGTTCCATAGCCTGGACTACGAACACACACAGCTGCATACTTGTTCAGTATAGGCCGTATGTAGTCCTGTCCTTGGTCCTCAATTGCAGGGTCTGGTAACTGCCTGAAAAACAAACCGCACTTGTACTCACCCAGCATTACTGAAAACAAATTTCTCCAACACCGACTACCCATAATCAACCCATAGCTTGGAAATAACAATAAAACCAAGGTTGTCAGTGCATTTCTGCAGAAACTAGAAAGCAAAGAACTGAAGATTAAAATAGCTTGTGAGCTCTTTCACAAAGAGAATTTCTTGATGTCTTGAACTTTGTTTCATCAGCTTTCAACCTTTAAAAATATATTCCATATCTTGACAGTCCTCTCCCCATCATTACTATTGCTTTCTTTCTACATTCCTACTTTCTCCAGAAATCTATAATAAAACTTAAGGTCAAACAACTAGGAGGTGCATCACACAAACAAATATTATGCAGTTAGATAATAGGGGCTGTCTCTTGCCTCTTGAAGATAGCAGGCAGGTCTTACTGCAAGAATCTTGGGGGAGGGGGGAAGGGACTTAGAAATTTTGACAGAAATACCCTTAATCAAATTTAACAAAAATGGAGTTTGCAGAGGACTTCACAGCAAAAGACAAGCCTGTGTCCAACCATGAAACAACAACTCCATCGTAAAGTTTGGAAATATTTAGAAAGAGGACCTAGGTGTAAACGTTATGTTCTATGAACAGTAATTAATAATACCTTTGGTGGGTTGTTGAGCAGTGTCTATGGTCAGATACAACCTGTAGAAGAACTGGAAAGACATGCATGTCTCTTTCCTCCTGTCCATACCATTAGCACATTCCCTCAAATGTGAAGGAAAAATGTAGCTTGGTATTTCAATATTTCAGCATCCCAATCTGGAGAAGTTCAAGCACAGTTCCCTGCACCCTATCATTGCGTGTGGCACTCTACTTTCTCCCACAGCTCAGGTTTCTGCCTTCCCTAGGGAACCAACTCATGGCAGGTTCTATTAGAGAGAGAAATGCAAGTTCAACAACTGTTTGCCACATGAGAAACATGAGTGAAGAGGGTAGAAAGAAAAAGGATACGGACTAATTCAGCCCTGCCTCTCTAGAATCTTTTCCAGATGCACTGTGAGGTGATACTGTTTGACCTCCACAGTAAAAACACTGCTTAACTGAGGCCACCCTCAGACTAGGCAGGAGGGAAGGGAAGAATACAAACTCAGGGTACTTACCTGAGCAGGAAAGGAATTTCTAGGGTGCCACCATTCATGGCACAAACAGGGGAAGTGGTGGTAAAGGGGGCTTGCTGTGGAAATTAATTGCATCCAATATACCTTTATAAAGCCTATATGATTAATGTATCTGGAAACTTCTTCATTATCATAGGCTGCTCTGGAAATGCTCAGCCATAGATTTATAATTTTGAACCTTAATGCTGCCTTAATAAATATCCATCTTATAACCAGAGACGCTTAGATAATGAGGTTATTCTGATGAACAGAAACCTTGGGCACATGTGTATTTTAAGTGTGGGTCTGGTGCAAGTCACTGCTAAACAATGCAGCATAGCAATTCCTTGAAGCATCCCAGTGTTTTTGATTTGTAGTATTGAATGCATGGCAAAATGGAGCTTAAAATATCTAAACAGATGCATTAATTAAAACTCATAGTTCACTTTTTCTAAAGCCCTTGTCTTACCCCAGGAGATTTATTTTGACTTTTAAGTTTTGAAATACCACACACACGCACACTTACATTTTGCGTTTACTGGGTTTAAAATGACAAAGATTGGGGAACTTTGCATCCATGTTTAAAAAAACTGCTCCTTCTGCTTAGTTGGTGGTCTGTATCAGTAAGTGTTACAGTCCTCTTATGCAGGAAGCAACAGTGCTACATACAAATGCTCCTATGATATAACAGGCCAAATTCAGGGCACACAACGGGCTGCTCAACACAGGAAAGTTATTGTGCAGTAAGGTAGGTGTGAATTTAGAGCATACTAACTGCTTGGCATTAAGTCCCAAAATGGACACACTTAATGTGCACTAAGCACACGAACTTTTCCACACAGTTAAGCCCTTATTGTACACATAAAAAAAAGCTATGTGAGCTTTAAAATATCTGCATAGCATTGCTTGTAAACTGTAAGCAGTGTTCTTACGGCTCTTGATTATTCATCACTTTAATGAGCTCCTTCACCAGGTCTTCTTTGGTAAGGTCCTGACTTTGCTTGATCACATCTGTGAAAAGCTGCTTGCCATACTGAAGTTTTTTCCATGGAGTATCCAAGAAAGAATTACTCAGTCCATAGATTCCTATATATTGAAACAAAAAATAAAATCTGGGGCAGGCAAAAGAGTGTTCATAGTAAGTATTTCCACAGAGGGCAGAAAGTTTACATATAAGCATCATAGCTAAAAAACAAACAAAAAAAAACAAAAAACCTACCACCATCGCATTCTTCATGGGTTGAAGAAGGGGGATATAAATTAAGTCTTGCTGGCAAAATTCATCATGGACCTTATGTCATCTTGTTGGAATGATTTGCTTACACTTAGCATTTCAATGATCCTCGACCCTTATTTTACCTCAAATACACTAATGGGCATTAACCGATGTGGTAAAAGAAAGTAGAGAATTGCAATAAAAAGTCAGTTAATATAAAGCCCGATTTCCAGAGGCTTAGCTCTTAATAAAACACCTAACCATTTCTCACTGTTTTGGGTCATAAAAATTTTAG